CCCCTCCTTTCGAATTGTAAGCCGCCCTGAGTCCCCCCAGGGAAAAGGGCGGCATATAAATAAACTACTCATACTCATACAATGAGATTGGTACCTGTGGGGAGAAACTTTAAAAACACCCCTCTACTAATTTAAAAAAAAGAACAAAATAGCTGCATAGTCCTTTGATCTTGACAAGGAGTTCATTTTTACTGGAAAGCTATAGTAACAGAATCTTGCAAGTCTGAATGTGCTTCCTCTCTCCCTCCCTTTATCTTTGTCTGAACTGGGGAAGGGATGGTGTGAGATGTTTACTCACATTACTTTTCTGGCCCTGGCTCAGACCCCCTTTTATCTGAAGCAAGGGTGGCACAGTGGTTAGAATGTAGTATTGCAGGCTAATTCAGCTCACTGCCAGGAGTTCAATCCTCTCCGGCTCAAGATTGACTAAGCTTTCCATCCTTCCGAGGTGGGTAAATGAGGACCCAGATTATTGGGGCAATAGGCTGACTCTGTAAACTGCTTAGAGAGGGCTGTGAAGCACTGTGAAGTGGGATATAAGTCTAAGTGCTATTGCCATCCAATTGTTGTCTTGGCAGAAGCTTTTCTTCTCTCTTCCCTGTACAAGAGAAGAGGCTCTTCTCTCTTCCCTGTACAAGAACAAGGCCAAGAGTTTTTGCCATTGGAAAAATTCACCTCAAAGCATCCTGCAAATCTTTCTTCAGTGGTTTTAAGCATAGCATAGTAATTGAAACAATAGCGGGTAATTATAAAATTGTGGAGCCATTCCTAATGTAGTTTAAATGCTGCCTGTTACACAAACTTAATACAAAGAAACCCCAGAGATTTAATTCTTCTGGTAACTGAGCATTTTGAAAGTACTTTTTTCAAACACCTAGAGTGAATGTTATCTATAAATATACTACAAATATGACCACTGGCATTCAATAAAGCTCTAACCCAGGAAGATGTTTATATAGTGCTAGCTGAAATCCAGGATCAGGGAGAGATTTGTAATAAAATATAATTGTGCTGTATTTTTCTATTAAGGAAGATTAATTATTGCCATAGAAATGGGATTTTTTTCAATCTCTTCAAGAGCTTGGAGCATTTCATACAAAAATAATGAAATATATATATTCAGAACTTTTAAAATATTTATATAAGAAAGAGTACATAAGAGTCAATTAAAAATAATGTTTTAAGTGGATATTAGCAGTACCAGTTTTGAGATTCACTTACCTTCCCTACCCGTTCGCAAATGTGAGCACACCAGTGGTGGGTTTCAAAAATTGTTCGAACCTACTCTGTGGGTGTGGCCTCCTTTGTGGGAGTAGCTTGCCGCCCATGTGACCGGATGGGAGTG